ACCGCACAAAAATCGCATGTGATTTGCACAGAAATGCGGTGCGGTTCCTGTGCAAATAACATGCAATATAACGCACAGGAACCGCACCGCATTCCTGTGCAAATCACATGCGATTTGTGTGCGTTGCGATTGGAGCCGTACATTTTGTATGGCACAAATCGCCCGCACCCGCACCCACACCCGCACTAAAAAGTGAACCCAGGCTAACTGGTATGAGCAGCGTCCATCTCTCCTTATAAATCTTCCTGCTGCACATTTTTTTCGAATCCCCCTGGACCAACAAATATACGAAAAACGAACGCTGAAAACAAAGAAAAAACGAATACAGCGAAATGAAATTCTTCAATCAACAAATGCATCCGAAATGAAAATATCTGGCGCGCACAGGACTAAAATCTACATTATAATTAAAAAGCGTGATTCTTGTGAGCTACTATGGTGTAGTTTGTACATATTTTTGCAAAGCAGGGTTGTAACCGGACCCTTGATTGCACTTGGGTACTTCCATTCAGGGACGGACTGATAACTCATGGGGCCCCCGGGCAATAGGGGATCATGGGGCCCCTGTGTCCTTGCCCAAACTCAAAAAAGCCTATGAAAAAGGTACCAGGAGCATCTCATGGGGCCCCCTACTGACCCCGGGCCCTCGGGCAGTGCCCGAGTTTCCAAATGGTCAGTCCGCCCCCGCTTCCCTGTCCGAACACCGACAACAGACACCACTCTTGAAGTAAAACCAGGAAATAGACTAGTTTATTTGAACACAGATACAAGATACGTTTTGCAATATTGAATAACATATTTTTATTTATGCTCGGTTGTTTATTATTGTCCATGTAACGGAACCGACCCAGACTGCACTTGGGTACTTCTGTTAGAATACCATTTCCCGTTCGAACACCGACAACCAACACCACAGCCAACCATACAAGACTAGACGACACCAGTCTTGAAGTAAACCAGGAGGTAGACTACTTTATTTGAACACAGATACAAGATATATACATTCAGGGGACAGTCCCCTCCCTGCATAATGAAACAGGGCAGGGAAATCTACATTTAGTAACAAGAGACACACAGGTATTCAAACTTCACACCAGCAGACAGTCCCATCAGGAGGGAGGGCTGCTGGAAACACCCCCCCACTAAGCTAATACACACAAACACATACATCCCATACAGGGGTTGACTGATAATTCATGGGGCCCCCGGACAATAGGGGATCATGGGGCTCCTGTGTGCTAGTCTACACTCAAACCACTCCCAAAAAAGCCTATGAAAGGTACCAGGGGCATGTCATGGGACCCCTAACTCACCCCGGGCCTTCAGGCAGTGCCCAAATGTCTGAATAGTCAGTCCGCCCCTGGTAGTAAGATACAACATTATGGCCAATACATGGAGCTGATGTGCATAGGAAATACATATTTTTTTTACAATGTAACAATTCTGGAGAACTTTGGTGCAGTAGTGGTCAACTGTGAAAATTATAGAGTGCCTCAACTGAATTACAATAATTCCTAGTATTGGTGTCAGTGGCCGTAATAATAACCCCCGGCATTGGTGTCAGTGGCAGTAGTAATAACCCCCAGCATTGATGTTAATGGATGCAATAATTACTCCCAGCATTGGTCTCAGTGAGTGCAATATTAACAGTCAGCATTGGTGTCAGTAATAATAACCCTCAGCATTGGTGTCAGTGAAAGCAATAATAACCCCATTGGTCAGTCAGCATAATGGTGTCAGTGAAAGCAATAAAGCAATAATAACCCCCAGCATTGGTGTCAGTGAAAGCAATAGTAACCCCCAGCATTGGTGTCAGTGTGAAAGCATTGGTGTAAGTGAACCCCCAGCATTGGTGTCAGTGAATGCAATAAAAAAACCCCGGCACTAGTGTTCAGCAGGGGCGGACTGACAACTCATGGGGCCCCCGGGCAATAGGGGATTATGCAGCCCCCGTGTCCTTGCCCAAACTGAAAAAAGCCTATTAAAAAGGTACCTGGGGCATCTCATGGGACCCCCTACTGACCCCGGCCCTTGGGCAGTGCCGGAGTTTCCAAATGGTCAGTCCGCCCCTGATCCCAAGCCAAACATACAATAGAACAATGGGATGCAACCACATTGCATTAAACAATGAACAACCCCCACTCTAATATTAGGACAGATCACCCTGTACCCCTAACAGGCACAGGGTGACTTACACATAATAGGGATATGGGGAGCTGAGACAGGGGTCTCCCCACCTCTCCAAAGTGAGCTGGGTTCCATGGGCCCCCCACCCAAAGTCACTCCCGTCACAAGGGTGAATAAAATTGAAAAACACCACTATAAATATAAATAAGTGAAATACGTGCAAAAATATATAAAAATTTGAACGGATAAATAAATAAGTAAAAAATATTTATAAATATTTGAATGGATAAATAAATAAAAAAAAAATATAAAAAAATTTGAATAAAATTCAAACCAGTGGGTCGCCTACACCTGTCAGGGACCATCGCGATGCATGGGTCTGCACATGCGTAGGTGTCTGTCAAGACATGCAGGCATCAGGGCACTAGGACCCAGGCGCACCCGTCGCCTATAATGGTGCTGGGCAGGCACTAGGACCTAGGCTGCGCCTGTCAGGTGCAGGGCAGGCTACTTAAATCAGCCCTGCACAGACACAAGTTGCCGTATGGTCTGATCTGGTTCCTGTGTTCCTGTGTTCCCGTTGTTTGAGATTCGTTGCTGACCTGCCTGGACCTGACCTCTGCTGACTTCTCCTGCTCTGACCCCTGGCTAAGTTTGACCTCTCTTTTGGATATCCCTACCTGATCTGAACTACTGGTACCGACCCCGGCGAGTGACCTGACTATTCTTCTGCCTGCTGCCTTGTACCACGCTGACCCCTCTGTTACCGACCTGGCCCGTTTGACCACGCTATTGCTCAGCCATCCATCCGACCCGCACGGATTAGCTGCTACTCTCCAGACCTGTCTGCCTCTTCACGTCAGGCTCTCTACCTGTCATTACCTCTGGTGATTCCTCTACCTCAGGTGGGTGTACTCAGGGGCCGTGACCTGGTCACTGTCTGCTCCAAGCCCATCCCCACCATCAGGGGCTCTGGTGAACAAGCGGACTGGGGCTTAGACTCCGCGCCCTGGGGAATCCTGTCCTGGGGACTGCTAGAGTACACCAGGTGGTCCATAACAACACCATACACATACTCCTACACGTGTGTCACTATAAGCAAAATCAAATACAAACGTGTCGCGCTCCACTAATAAAATGATATGTGAATATGCACAAAAAAATGATAAAACTATTCTGAATTATATAATATCTACATTATGTTGTATTTTGTTGCAGCCCTGATGAAGAGGGAGTTCCTTTGTCCTCCCGAAACGCGTTGGGTGTCTTTTAGCACAGTACCAATAAATGAAATTGGATTCTTTTTCTTTTTGGTCTGGCTTCCGTGTATGCACATTTTTTTTTTCATCTCCAACTAAAAAGGGATCAATAGGGAGCTGTCATCGAAGCACTCAAAAGTTTACGCTTCTGTAAAAGTCAAGAAAGGCGCGTCAGCAAGCGGGAGTTTGTTTTTACTTGCACGATAGATAATTAAAATCTGCAATATAGACCTTGACACGGTTTGTCATGTATCCCAATGTTATAAAGTACACAGGCGCCGAGCGTACATAATCACGTGGGAGTTCTCTGCAGCTGTCACACGCCGGATTAGACAAAGCGCTCCGACTCGCCAATATAACTGAAATTAACCCGGTAGGTTTGATGGCATTTTGATATTTCGCTGCCATTTCAGCAGCTTTCTGTACAAGGATAATTATTTTGTGTTTCCAGCTGAGTCTGTTCACTCGAGTTAATGGAAGCGAGCGAGTCACCTAGGCAAAGCCACCTGTCGAGGTTCTGACTTTAATCGGGAGGTTTAAAAAAGACGCCGCGGCGGAAATTGCGATGCCGAGGGTGGAACTGAAGCTCTGGGTAATAATCAAGAAGCAAAACACCAAGACAACGTAATTGCGCGGTCCTCTAACACCGCGCCACACCATGACAGCGTTATGACAACAGACTCGCAAACAATGCCATTCTACAGATAATGAGAGGGGGGGGGGAAATCATCTATAGAACACGGGAAAGCAAACTGGCTGAAGAAATCATTCTTAAATAATTGGGATTTAAAGATTACCCTTCTACAGCTTTTTAAAAGGTACAAAAAAAACCTCCTTTAACCTCCCTGGCGGTATAATTATGTCAGGAATTTTGTACCAAAAGCGGTAAATTTTTTGCATGGAAATATGTATTTTTTTTTATCGTAGGACTGTAATTTTTAGGAATAACTCACTGAAATCTGTCCGAACAAGAGTCTAGTAAACATCCCGGGGATGATAAAACTTGAAACACAAAATCATAAATTATAATTTAATAAATAATCATAAAAATAATAATATAATAATAATAAATTTAATTCAATAATATAATCAAACCAAAAACACTGAAATGTGAAATAGAGCGCCAAGTTCACACATCGCTGAGCAAAGTCGCAGAATCGTTTTCAGTGTCTGATGAGGAATTTCCCCCACGAATCATTATCACTCAATTCTGCAAGTGCAAAAAACCGCGTCTGACCTAAAGGGACGCTTTTTGGACGCCATGGACGTTTCTCAGTTTCCAGGCAGAAAGAACAGTAAAAAATGCAGGCAGGGCGCCGGACAAAGCAGTAGGGACAAAATGTATGTGAAATGGTTTGATACAGCAATGTTTTGCTATGAAATAAAAAAAAAATGTCATTTTTTTGAAATTTTCAAATTTGCCGCCGGTTCCGGCACCCGTACGTCCCGACGTCACAGGGACCGGAACACGGAAGCTGGATGCCGGCATCGGCCGGAGGAGATGGTAGGGGACGCTGCAGGGGACACATCATGGGAGCGAAGGACAAGGTAAGCGCTGTAGGGACTCCCTCAGCAACGCCGCATGGTAAACCCGAGTGTAGCTCGGGGGGGTTACCACTTTTGGTACTGAAACTTTACCCCGAGCTACACTCGGAATACCGCCAGGGAGGTTAACCACTTCAAGTCCGGACACTTTCAAGTTCCAGTCCGGACACTTTCCCCCCCTCCAGTCCGGACACTTTCCCCCCCTTCCAGTCTGGACACTTTCACCCCCCCTTCCAGTCCGGACACTTTCACCCCCTTCCAGTCCGGACACTTTCCCCCCCTCCAGTCCGGACACTTTCCCCCCCTTCCAGTCCGGACACTTTCCTTTCCAGTCCGGACACTTTCACCCCCCTTCCAGTCCGGACACTTTCCCCCCTTCCAGTCCGGACACTTTCCCCCCCTTCCAGTCCCCCTCCTTCCAGTCCGGACACTTTCACCACCCCCCCTTTCCAGTCCAGGACACTTTCCCCCCCTTCCAGTCCGGACACTTTTCCAGTCCCACACTTTCACCCCTTCCAGTCCGGACACTTTCCCCCTTCCAGTCCGGACACTTTCCCCCCCTTCCAGTCCGGACACTTTCACCCCCTTCCAGTCCGGACACTTTCACCCCCTTCCAGTCCGGACACTTTCCCCCCTTCCAGTCCGGACACTTTCCCCCCCTTCCAGTCCGGACACTTTCACCCCCTTCCAGTCCGGACACTTTCACCCCCTTCCAGACCGGACACTTTCACCCCCTTCCTGTCCAGGCCAATTTTCAGCTTTCAGCGCTATCACACTTTGAATGACAATTGCGCGGTCATGCAACACTCATGAATTTTTTAGCATTTTTTTGAGACAGATAAAGCTTTATTTTGGTGGTATTTATTCACCACTGGGATTTTTATTTTTTTTTGCTATATAAATGAAAAAGTCCAATAAATTTTTTAAAAAAGTGTTTTTCTTATAAAATTTTGCAAATAAATAATGTTTCATCATAAATCTTGGCCAAAATTTATTCAGTTATCTTTTTAGTAAAAAAAAAACCCAAAAATATAATTTTTAAAAAATTTTTTTACATTTTTATTTTAATTTTTTATATTATTATTTATGTTTGGTTTTTTTTTTTTTTTACATACGGTAACCCTAGCACCCATGGTGACACTGTACTACTTGTGGGGGGTGATGGAGAATTTTTTTTTTCTTTACACGGATTGCTTTTATACCCATAAAGGCTGTAAAAGCAATATTTCTCCTTCTCTCTGGCTGCATTCTTGCAGCCATTGAGAAATACTGTGAGAGCTGTGATTGGTCACAGCTTGTCACATGGTACAAGGCTGTTGTGAATATACCTGTACCATGTGACCTCTGTGATCATTCACTGATTTCACACGTAGTAAGCAATGATTTCAGAAGTGACATCTTGCTTATTACTCTGCATGTGATCACTGATTGGCCAATCAGTGATCACATGATCGGGACCTCGCACAGAGGTCCCGTACAATGAGCGGTGTTCCACTGTGTCCAAAGGCACTGCGTGCTCCCAGGGAGCGCGCACAAGCAGGGGGCAGGGAGGCCGTTTATAAACGACCACCCGCCCCGCACTGCCACCAACCGGCCATTTATATACAACGGCCGGACAGGAGGTAGTTAACTACCTGACCAGGTTATACCCCCTTCATGACAGGTTTTTTGTTTTGCTATTCAACACTGCGCTACTTTAATTGGCAATAGCTTGGTCGTGCAACATTGTACACAAATTAAATTTATATCATTTTTTTTTCACAAAAAAAGAAAAAACCTCTCTTTTGGTGGTATTTGATCATCACTTTTTTTTTAATTATATAAATGAAAAAATGGCAAAAATTTTGAAAAAAAAATGATACAACTGATATAAATTATACAAAAACATGACTACAACTTTCTGCTATAAAACAGATCCAAGAAAATCAAATTTCTTCATACACGGCTCCAACAAAATGAAAGGAACACTTTGAAAACACATCAGATCTCAATGGGGACACATCTCCTGCTGGATCTCTATACTGACATGGACGGGGGATGGGTGAGGAACGTAAAGACGCCCCATTGTTTGATGGGAATGAAAATGATCGACCTACAGAGGACTGAATTCACAGACACCCCCCGAAAATCAAAGTGAAGAAATGATGCAGCAGGCGAGTCCATTTGACTGAAATGTCATTGCAGCAACTCAGAATGGTCCTCAGTAGTCTGTATGGCCCCCACGTGCTTGTATGCATGCCTGACAACATCGGGGGAGGCTCCTAATGAGACCACGGATGGTGTCCTGGGGGATTTCCTCCCAGATCTGGACCGGGGCATCACTGAGCTCCTGCACAGTCTGAGGTGCAACCTGGCGGCGTCGGATGGACCGAAACATGACATCCCAGAGGGGTTCTATTGGATTTAGGTCAGGTGAGTGTGGAGGCCATTTAATGGTATCAATTCCTTCATCCTCCAGGAACTGCCTGCATACTCTCCCCACATGAGGCCGGGCATTGTTGTGCACCAGGAGGAACCCAGGACCCACTGCGCCAGGAGGAACCTAGGACCCCCTGCACCAGGAGGAACCCAGGACCCACTGCACCAGGAGGAGCCCAGGACCCACTGCACCAGGAGGAACCCAGGACCCACTGCACCAGGAGGAACCCGGGACCCACTGCACCAGCGTAGGGTCTGACAATGGGTCCAAAGATTTGATCCCAATACCTAATGGCAGTCAGGGTGCCATTGTCTAGCCTGTAGAGGTCTGTGTGTCCCTCCATGGATATGCCTCCCTAGACCATCACTGAACCACCACCAAAACGGTCATGCTGAACCATGTTACAAGCAGCAGAATGTTCTCCACGACTTCTCCAGACCCTTTCATGTCTGTCACATGTACTCAGGGTGAACCTGCTCTCAACTGTGAAAAGTGCCAGTGGTGGACCTGCCAATTTTGGGGTTCAATGGCAAATGCCAATTGAGCTAGAGTTGGACTGCCTGTGCAACCTCTGCAGGGTCCAGGTATGGCCTCATGCTACCAGTAGTGACACTGACCCTGGCCAACTGCAAAATTTGTGAAAAATAGTCAGAAAAGATGAGTAGGGAAAAAAAATGTCAGTGGCCTCCACCTGTAAAACCATTCCTGTTTTAGGGGTTGTCTCATTGTTGCCCATCTAGTGCGCCTATTATTAATTTCATTAACACCAAAGCAGCTGAAACTGATTAACAACCCCCTCTGCTACTTACTTGACCTTATCAGTATCCCAGGAGTTTCATTGACTTGATACTATACTGTGATTTAAAAGTGTTCCTTTCATTTTTTTGAGCGTGTACATTTAGGCCAGGGGTCTCCAAACTTTCAAATCAAAGGGCTGGTTTTCTGTCCTTCAGACTTTAGGGGGGGCCGGACTGTGACCAGTGGAAGTAGAAAATGTCTTGGTGTCAGTGGAAGTAAACAATGCCCCATCTATGGTATTAGGGGGAGGAATAGTGCCCAAGTGTTGGTGTCAGTGAGAGGAATAGTGCCCCAATTTTGGTGTCAGTGAGAGGAATAGTGCCCCAATTTTGGTGTCAGTGGGAGGAAAAATAGCCCACTGGTGGCGTCAGTGGGGAGAATAGTGTCTTTTAGCAGAGGGAAGGAGAGTGCCCCAAGGGCCGGATAAAGATAAGCAAAGGGCCACATTTGGCCTCCGGGCCACAGTTTGGAGACCCCTAATTTAGACCAAAATGTATTCTACTACATGTCCCAATAGGTGTGTATTGATTCACTTGTGTGAAAGTTATACAGTCTACAGACCAGGGATTTTTTTTCAGCAGGAACATGGGGGGAATGTAGTTTCGGCACCTCCACCACTGAATGTATGTAACGATAAGGGGTACTGGGCTGTGCTGGAGGGTCTATTGATGCTGGCTGCTTAGGGATCTATTGTTGCTGGAGGGGATCTATTTTTGCAAGGGGGCTCTATTGTTGCTGGTGGGGGATCTATGGCTGCTGGGAACAATCTATTGTTGAGGAAGAGGTCTATTGTTGCTGGCTGTTGGAGAGGTTATTGATGCTGGCTGCTTGGAGATCTGTTGTTGCTTTCAGGTGGTATTGTGGTTGATCTATTGTTGCTGGAGGGGATCTATTTTTTGCAGCGGGTTCTATTGTTGCTGGTGGTGGATATATGGTTGCTGGGAATGATCTATTGTTGAGGGAGGGGTCTATTGTTGCCGGCTGCTGCTGAGAGGTTATTGATGCTGGCTGCTGGGAGATCTGCTCTTGCTTCCAGGGTTATTGTGGTTGGGGTTGATCTATTGCTGCTGGAGGGGATCTATTTTTGCAGGGGGGCTCTATTGTTGCTGGTGGGGGATCTATGGCTGCTGGGAACAATCTATTGTTGAGGAAGAGGTCTATTGTTGCCAGCTGCTGGAGAGGTTATTGATGCTGGCTGCTGGGAGATCTGTTGTTGCTTCCAGGGGTATTGTGGTTGGGGTTGATCTATTGTTTCTTGATGGATCTATTGTTGATTGGGGGGGTCTGTTTTGTTGGCTGCATTTCACTGCTTTTCCTGTTATCAACAAATTCCATAGCACCATAAAATGATACTTGGTTCAGTATTGTCCAAAAGGGACGGTACTGGAAGGTGGGTAAGGGGTGGAACCAAGAGACACTGCTCGAAGGTGGGTAGGGGGCGGAGACAATGGTGACTCAGAAGGAGGGAATACCTGCACCTATTCTCGGAGAAAAAATCCCTTCTACAAACTATGGTATTTATACTGGAATTTACACAGCTATAGAGGCTATGCTAACAGCAGCGGTGATCGGCAACTTATAGCGGGACTGTGATAGTGCGGGTACTAACAGACACTGGTGGGGGGGGGGGGGACACAGGCTTGGTTCACACCTGTTTTTTGCTTTTGATCCATATTTTGCATTGCGCTCTGCATTTTTACATGCGCGTTTTGGCACCGGACTGAGGCTGATGTATCCTGCTGCGGCCATGCAGAGTACTGGCAGAAATGCCAGATCTTCCAGAACCTCTGCCGTGGACAGGACCCTGACATTATCAAACTTCCTACCACAAAGTTCTGCTTTTCATTCTCAAAGAGAATATACCGGGAACATTCTCACTGGTTGGCATGCCTAACACACACTTATTTTAGAATCTATTTGACAAATAAGGACCACAGAGATTTGGCAACAGAAGATGTAATAATTAGCTTGTCGAGAAATACACTTTTTTTTTGTATTTTTCCATCCGAAGACACGCTCTGTTCATCACGAAAATGACTTACAAGTTAAATAATCATTTCGAACAGACAAATCTCCGTTCCTCAGCAGCGGGGCGGCCCGAACAACGGTTACGGCTTTTTTTTTTTTTTTTTTTTTTCAACCTTATTAACTATTCTCCCATGTAGTATCGAGCCGGGATCTGTCTTGTCCTGCTGGATAAATTACACCA